GTCACTTTCCACTCAGAGCACTCATGAATAAAAACAAAATCATTGCGTGCATGAATTATCTAACGAACTATGAGGCTGTCTGTAAAGACCACCGGTATAGAAAGACCACTTTTCTTGTTTCTATTCAGAAGCATTATCATTAGTATCATTATCATTCATATTTTCATCTTTATTCTTTTTTTATAAGGATAATGATAAGAATGATAATAATAATAATAATTATCATCATCATTATTAATCATATTTGATTTTGTTTGTACTTCGTCCGTTCGGTCGCTTGGCATTATATTCCAAAGTCATAAATGATAAACACAAACACGCAATAAAACATCATATTACGAATCTATTAGAATCCTATTCTAGCTGCATTACCATTGTTGTCATTAATACTATATTACAATTTCATTACATATTTCGCACACACACACACGCACGCGCGCAGACGCAGGCACACACACACACGCACGCGCAGACGCAGGCACACACACACACGCACGCGCGCGCAGACGCAGGCACACACACACACGCACGCGCAGACGTACACGTACGCACACACATATGCACACACACACACTCGCACGCGCTCGCGCCCACACACACATGCGCAGATGCACACACATACACACACACGCAGACGCACACATACACACACGCGCGCACACACACACACACACACACGCGCGCGCGCGCGACAGTGAAACAAGCAAACAAACAAACAGTCAGAACTGTCGAAACGATGAGAATCCATTAGAATTCGACTGAAGAGTTGAGTTGCTTTATTTTGATGTAGAGTGGAGTACTTATTGGCAGCATGGATATCAATGAATCTCTCTCTCTGTCTCTCTCTCTCTCTCTTACATGCATAAAGGCATCATATTCTGAATCCATCAATACCATATTTTAACTCTATTATTATCAATATTACTCTCATCGTTGTCACCAGGAGCAGCATTTTAATTATCGTTATTATTATTAATACTATTATATAATACTATGTAGTTATGATTAAAAAAGATATGCTTCGAGGCAAGTACACTGCAGTGAAGTAGTAAGACCATTGTTTATGCACATATTATTTGCACAATGGGGGGGGAGGGGGAGGTTGGAGGGGAAGAGAGAGAAGGGTAGAAGGAAGGGGACTTGGAAAAGAAAAGGGTGGAGAGGGAAAGGGGAGGGAAGGGAGACTACAGAAGAACGGGGAGAAGGGAAAGAAAATCTAGGGGACGTAAAGAGGAAAGGGGAAGAAAGAAGGCGCTCAGAAAAAAGGGATATGAGGGAGAGACGGAGGGGGATAAGGGAGCGAAGGAGGTGGGGGAAGTAAGGAGGAAGAGGGGAGAGGAGTAGGAGGAGGGTAGATATGGGGCATAAAGTTTGAGGGGGAGTGGGAGGGGGAAGGAGCGAAGGCAGTGGGGAGGATAAGGGAGAGGGAGCGAAGGCAGTAGGGAGGATAAGGGGGAAGAGGAGGAAATTTTGAAAGGGTTTGATGAATGGCGTAAAGTGTGAGGGGAGAGAAGCGTACTTATCTTTTTTTATCAATTCATATTTTTTTGTTCCATGGAATTCCCATGAGTTTCGCTAGTTATTATTATTACAATTATTGTTGTTATTATCACCATCACCTTCATCATCATCTATTTCTATAATGCTTATTATCATTGTTATTATTGTTATTGCTACCATTATTATTTTATTAGTATAATTATTTCTTATTATCATCACTACATTGATCATCATTATCATTATTAATATCAACATTATTTCATTATCATTATCCTCAATATTATCATTGTCACTATTATGATAATTATTTCTTCATCATTGTTAATTTACTACTTTAAGTCCTTGGCGTAATTCCTATTTAGACTGTCACATCCTTGTCACCACAATATATAGGAATACATTACAGAATATGCTTGTCATCTGCGACCAATATCAACTACACCATTTCAAGCATCCTCTCAATGATAACAATTATAGCTTGCCATTCACAGAGGGAGACATATTGACTTCGCGGCCCTTCCTTCTCTCCTTCCCTTATTGCAGAGCAAGGAGGACGGGAAGATAATTTAAACGTATATTTTTCGGTTTCTTCGTTATATTTCACCATTTTCATTATTTTTTTCTTTTCTTTTCTTTTAACAGCTATAACAGGGGAAAGAAAACTTCGAGGTCTTCCGTGTAGGCCGTTGGCTTTCCCATTACATTCGTGCACTTTAATTTTGCTAGTCTGGTCAATTTACTTACTTACCTTGAGCATAAGTGAACAGTGTTTCATTTGCGTTTCCCATTTCCAAAATGAAACTTACCTCCATTGTTTACGTTATGAACTTCCATTTTGTAATCAATGTTTAACTGAATAAATACCATGAGAAACAAGAAAAGAAAAAGAAAGAAAAAAAGAAAGAAAGAAAATAACTTATAGTGAATAACATAGAAGCATGCCATTTCAGAAACACTATGCAATAAAAAAGAAGAAAGAAAAGAGAAAATTGTTACTTACCTCCCCTCCCTAACTTGGCTCGACGCGAAGATGTCCCCAGTGTTCCGATTGAGAGTGAAGAGGGGGTGGGGGGCGCCGACCCACTCGAACATTTTGTCCCTGACGTCCCAGTCATCTGGATCATCCACATAAACGCGTCCTAAGGGAGCATCCGATCCCCCGCCCTGGAGTAGGGATCATAGAGGTTGTTGATTCGGGGAAAGTAACAACACGTGGAGGAATCTTCGCTTTGTGTTTTTCTCGTATTAGTTAAAGATGTAAGGATGGGAAGGTTTGTGTGTTGAGTGGTGTTCAGAATGGTGTAACCTTTTTATGGAGGTGCTTGATTGTGTGTTACTTTAAGATATACGTGCTGTATGTCCTACAGGTGATGGTAGTAGAGGAATCTTTCTTGTGTGAGTTTTTCGTATCAATCACCGATTAAAGATGAAAGACTGGAACGTTAGAGTAACTGTCTAAAATGGTGTTCAAACTAGTGTACCATTTTATAGTATATGGATATGTCTTAATATATGGGATGGGTACTGTAGATCCTTTAGGTAAAGGTAAAAAAATCCGTAACCTAACTTAACCTATACCATTATACACCCAAAATATGGTATGAATGAAAAATATGAAAGTAAACAAACAAGTAAAAAAATTAAAGGAATATGGTATGGATGAAAATAACTAATTTAACATCGCAACAGACGTACTTGACACGTTTCGCTTATATCATTATTAGAAATTTATTTAAAAGGATCGAAACGTGTTAGATATATCATGTGCGCTGTGTTATTCATTCTCATTCATATTTTTTTACACCTGTCACAGTGAGCTCTGCTCCCCATCAGAGATTTTTAATAACTGTTCTCTGTCCATTGATCTAAAACTATCCTCCATTTATCAAAATCTACTCTCTGTGTCAAATTCTATTCTCTGTTTGTTAAACTTTTTACTCTATTTAGTAAAAATTTATCCTCTATTGGTCAAACACTATCCTCTGTCTATCACAATCTATCTTCTACCTAGTAGATTCTTCCTTCTATTTATCAAAATCTCCCCTCCATCTGTGAAGATGACAAAGGATCTTCCACTTACACGAGGTTTACACAGGTAGACATTTTTGGAAGCAGGTCTCATCAGGTTGTCGTTGATGTCGTCGACAATCACGGTGAGGACTTCTGTTGTTGACATCCCACCTGCGTCTGACAACCACACCTGCACATCAAGTCGTCTGTGTTCTTCCCTGTCAACGGAGCCGGTCGTCCACACCTCTGCCCCGCCACGCCCACTATCGAGATCTTGTGGACGTGAGAGAACGTGGGGGGAAATTAACCTATTGCCGACGGGCATGGCCTGTAGGTATATGCCATGCCCACTGTGAGTTTACTTGTTTAATTGTTTTTACACATAGATGGCTACACTTGTACTGTCACCAGTGAGTCAGTTATGAGTACTGCTTGTCTCTCCCGTTCACCCTTTTCATTGATTTACGAAAATATTTTACGTTATCTTATTTTTCTGTTATTGATGTTAACAACATTATAATGATTATAATGCTTATGATAGAAATAACACCATCGACATTTATAGCGCTAGTAAAAAATACGTTTTTTCCCGCCAATTCAAGGAAAGGTGAAATCAGGTAAGGCCACAAGATATACTAAGTGACTCCTTTGTGGCTAAGCACTGGCAGAGCTTTTTATGTACAGAGACATTTCAAAAAAATAAAAAAAGGAGCACAGCATTTTCCCCATTTCTTATTCATTTTCCCCGGCGGCATTCGGTTAAGTTGGTTATTTATGTCATATCATGTGGATTTATCAATTTATTCATTTTATTTTGCTTTATAAAAGTTAACCCTTTCTCTGTACTGTTGATTCTCCGCCATTTATATGTATATGCTTAGGTATGTTTGTACGTATGTTTGCATTATCATTCCTCTTCTTATTCTTATTTTTATTCTTAATCTTATTCCTATTCTTATTCTGTTTATTTTCTTTTGCTTCTTATTTTTACTACAAATGTTATTAGTTTTATTAACACTATTATGATTATCATAATCATCATCATCATTATTATTATTATCAGCAGTAGTATCATTTTCATAATAATTATTATTATCATTATTATTATTATCATTATTATTATTACTATTATTATCATTATTATCATTATTATTATCATTATTATTACTTTTATTTTTATTATTACTAATGTATTAGTATCATGATCAGAATCATTATTATTATCATTATTATTATTAATACTATTATTATCATATTATTAATATTAATGTAATCATATTATTAATAACAATATCCTCACACACTTAACTAATAATAATGCTAAAGAAAATATTTCGACCATAATATCCCCTCACAAAATATATTTCGCATTCATATTAACATTAAATCCTCATGTTTTCTCTTCACAAAATGTCCAAAGTCCAAAAAGTAAATGGAACGGAGATTTATGGAGTCTCGAATAAATGATCTGTATAAGCATAATGGACACTAATACCTTTTTTACACTTAACACTTAAATTCACAATAGCTAAGTTTGAAACATTTAAATACTGTGAAGTTCCGTTTCCGAGGTTTGCTCTCTGAACAGGAATAATTCATGTCCTTATCGTATAAAAGTTTACCGAAATGTGTGTGATGATGCAAGAAATGTGTATATGTTTTGATGTAAAGTATAAAGTGTGTTACTCACTTCAGCGAACACTGCTTTAAATTCACTAGACATCGTTTTTTGCCTGTGTGAAAAGTGAATTTATTTCTGATTTTATTTTTTATAAAGAAATAGGTATTTTCAATGACCATTTATTATGCAATTTTAGTGATGAGTAAGATTATTACTTACTCCTGTACGGTATTTATCAAAACTCTGTTTAGTATCAGTTTCGAAAAAAACTCTACGGGTTTATGACGCTAGGTTTCATTTACTCCCTCAAGACTTGCAAATCAAACTCACCGTGTGAGCATTCACCCGCATTACCTTTGACGTTAGAAATAGCGAAATATCTTTTCTTCAGGCTTGATTACTCCACTCTCTCTTCTATACATTATACACAACTCTCCTAATTGAATCGACTCACTCTTTCGACGGCTCCCCATCTAGATATGAGAATTTCCTCTTCAAAACTCTGCCCAATCTTATTAAACAAACATCCACCCTAGAAACATTCTTGCAACATTTGAAGCACCCCCTTACCACCTACCCCCTCCCCCTTTTCAGCATTCACACTGTCATGTTTGCGCTCCGGGGAAACTCATATTTTCAGAGAGCGAGGGCCATTGTGTCTCACCAGGAGTAATCAGCGGAGACAAACAGTTCAGTGAGTGATGCCAAGCTGTCACGGCTGCGCCAACTCACCGAAGAGAGCCGTGACTTCAAGCGACGATGGATTATGATGGACGGGGTAATGATGGTGCTGATTGTGATGGGACTGCTGGAGTTGGGTAGTTATTGAAGGAGGTGTGACCGGGTTTTATTGTTGTTGGTGATAATGAATGATGATGCTAGGGATGATGATGAGTGATGATAGTGATGATGGTGGCGATGTTGGTGATAGTGGCGATGGCGGTAATGTTGGTGATAGTAGTGATGACGATGCTGGTGTTGATGACCGATGTTGGTGGTGATGATTATTAGTGATGATGCTGGGGATAAATCTGACGACGATGGTGATGCAATGGTGATGATGATGGTGGTAATGATGTTTATGAGAATGGAAGCACTCTGATAATGGTTACAGTAGTGATGTTGGTGATACTGTTGATTACGAAATTGTGATGGTGATGAAGTTAGTGATGCTGCTGGTGGCGATATCAATGGTGATTATGACGGTGGCGATTACGATGCTGTTGGTGATGCAGGCGACGTTGGTAGCGGCGATGATGGTGTTGAGATTTGGTGAATATGAATGTCTCAAGGATAACCGAGATATCCAGTCATTGTGATACGAAAACGAAAAGGAAGATAGTAAACGGGACAGTAAATGCGCTTTGCGGTGGACTGAAAATAAGGCGGCAAGCTTTAACACTGGATACTCACTCTGCCTGAATTTGACCTTGATGAGCGATTTGACGTGGGCGGTGTTGGTGCGAGCCAGGGAAATGTTGAAGGGCGGCCCGTGGCCCATCGCCCACACGTCCAGGTCGGTGGCAGTGAGGGTGGCCAGGCGCGTGGGCGGGCTGCTCTCTGTCACGTGCACGACCGTGGGCGGCAGGAGGCGCGGGGGGCAGTCGTTGACATCCGTTACGGTGATAGTGAGCGTGGCGGTGGCAGACAAGGGCGGCCGCCCATTGTCGATGCCGATGATTCTGGCCACGCCCTCGGCCCCGCCAGGAGCCTCTCGGTCTAGGCGGCGCCACAGCCTCACCTCGCCGTCGGCATTCACGTTGAGGGAGTCCCAGGCGCTCTCCACGCGGTACTCGACGCCCTCCTGGCCGTCCTGCGGGGACAGAGGGTGGGAGGGGGGGTGAGGGCATGGGCATGGTCGCGGTTTTGTTGGAGTGTTGGAGCGGGAGGTGGGGGGGGGGGGCGAGGGGGTGACACTAATGCGAATGTAATGCGAATTGGATGATACGTTATGTAGCGATACAAGATATATTCGTTGGATATGGTGTATGCATTCGCTCATTTGACGTTGTGGTGGCGACTATGGAAGAAATACAGCTTATTCGGCCTTACAGGGGATTAGGCAGAAGGAAGACATCTTAGCAAGTAACTTTTCCACTTGCAACTTTTTATATTTGATTCTTTTTGAGTAAAATGGAAGGAATCTAATGCCCCTTTAAAAGGACGATAATAATAACAACAAATGAAACTATATATTAGAGTTTAAAAAAAAAGTTGACAGAATTACTTTCAGATAAATTTACGCTGGGAACGTTTTGCGTTTTCATGCAACCACTGATTTTCATTGATTTTTTTTGAATCCCGATGATGAAATTCCTCATTTTTTTTTTACCCACAGGATACAGTTGGGGACAACAATCAGTATTTTCGTTGAATTTCAATTTTATCACTTAGCATTTTTAGGTTTTATATTTTTATATTGTGTTGCTGGGTCATTCGATTCCTATCCATAGCTGGTCTGCGCACCCGCCATAGCGTAGGAACTTTAAATATAGTGAATTCTCATTATAGTTAGTGACGCCATTCGGTCGTACGCCCGCAGTGGATGTCTTTTGTTTAGAACAAACTATTTTCGATCAAGTTAGAAAAAGGTATATATATATATATATATATATATATATATATATATATATATATATATACATATATATATATATATATATATATATATATATATATATATATATATATATATATATATATATATATATATATATATATATATATATATATATATATATATATATATATATATATATATATTACAGAATCATACACAAACAATGATAGATTTTTAATGTCATCTTAACTTCGTTACCAAACCACAGAATGAAAAATGGAAGGGAACACACAGTGGCGGAAGGGATTACGTAATAATAGATGCAAGGGAAGGGGGAAAGCAGGAGGGGAGGGAGGGGATGGAGGAGAGAGAAGAGGGGGAGGGAGGGGATGGAAGAAGGGAAGAGGGGAGGAGTGGGGAAGCAAATAGAGGAAGCGAGAAGGGAGAGAAGAGAGGGAAAGGTAGGGGAGGAGGCAGGACGGTAGAGAGGAGAGAAAGAAGTAGGGAGATAAAGGGAGAGGAGAAAAAGAAAATGAAGATGATGGGAGGAGGGGAGGGGGATGAGGTGAGAAGGGGGAGTGTGGGGAGGATAAGGAGGAGCGAAAGTAGAAATAGGAGGAGGGAGGAGATATAGGGCGGGTGGGAGGAAAGAAGGGGGAGGAGGAATACGCGAAGGAGGAAGGGAGAAGGGAGGAAAGAGGAAGAGAGAGATGACACAAGTCTAAGTTACCAGGTTTCCTAAACCTACCATATCCGGATCCTGGGCGGTGAGGACGGCCAGGACAGTGCCGGGGGCGGCGTCCTCCTGCACCGTGACGTGGGCGTGCGAGCGGGAGAACGTGGGCGGGTTGTCGTTGAGGTCTCGGAGCTTGACGGAGACCCAGGCCGTGTCCGTGTGGCGCGTGTCCTCCCAGCCCCCGCGTCCCTGGGGGAGAGGGAGACGCCCGTGTGCACGCTGTCTTGTGTCCTATGATTACGTACGTAAATTATGTGTACATGCATGAAACTAAAATATCTAAGAGGGTCGTGTGTGCGCTGTTTAGTTTTCTGTGATTATTACATAGATTATACATAGAAACAGATTCTGAAATATGTACACACCGTCTAACATCTTTAGATTATGACCATGTCCTGTGTGTGTGCTTGCAGATAATGCAATTGTATTATACAATTACGCACATGAACAGAATGTGTACATGTAGATAATGAGATATCTAGATGAACACAAATCCACGTGCTTTGCAAACATGTACAGAAAAGTGTTCACTGAAACGACAAGAAACATGTCTGTAAATTAATAAATTTCTTATTGACAACGGCAGCAATTATAAGCATATCTGTAAATTTGAGTTATTATCTGCAAAAGGTCAACGCATCCTCTCAGCATTTCATTCGTACTGACAAGAATCATGAAATTATGTTCTGCACCGTCCCAGGATATTTAAACCCGAGTTGGCAACTGCGTTACTGTACATTATAAATATTTGACATTTAGCTATCTTTAGCATTCAATTGAATCCCTTGGAGCCATCTGATAAAGAGGCTATAAAGAGGAATCTTTCGACCATAGTAATTGGAATGAAAATAAGAGTTATAAATATGGATTTTTGTAATAGGTTAAAGAAAAAAATGAATGAATCGTTAATTAGTGTTAAATATTCTGGGACGGACCATATTATATCAAGACATCATCATACAAAAACACAAACACACATACGCATTTAACACAGGAACACACACATACACGACAAGAGACAGACACAAGCACAACACAAACATACAAACAAACACGAAAACACACACACACACACACGCACACTTACGTACACGGACACTCACCCTGTCCGTGACTTGGACCATGAACTTGAATCCCCTCCTGTGGTTCTCGTCCTCGTAGTCGAGTGTCTGGCGGGCGTAGAGATGACCCACAGCACCCTCCGCCCTCACGCCGAAGTGCTCCCACCCCCACCCGCTCCGCTCTACCACCTGTGGGGGTCCCAGCTGGTTCAGTCCATCAAATTGATTCACATTTTCATTCCCTAGATTAATGAGTTGGTCAAGCTTTTTTTTTCGTTTGTGTGATGATTTGGTGAGCATTATTTGGGGGGAAATTATTTGGCAGCGAGGGTTGTGGCTTCGTTTCAACGTATGTGCTGATTTTTCGTTCATTTTTTCTTTCCAACGACCCTTTTTCTTTTTCTTTCTTCACGTCAATTAGATCAACATATACATATTATGGGGAGACAAGTTCACATACTTCTGATATAAAATAAGTAAAAAAAAAAAAAAAAAAAAAAAAAAAAAACAATAAAATAACAACAAAAACGCACTCCAATAAAAGCAAACTTACGCGATAAAAGAAATAGTTGGCCGTATCTAGATCGGCGGCCGTGATCTCCAGGAGCGAGGAGCCGTCGGGGGGGCCGGCGCCCCACGTCTCGTTCACATCCACTTGCCACAGGCGCTGCGTCAGGCGGGGGGCGTTGTCGTTCACATCCGTCAGCCGCACCACAACCGTGCCCGTCCCTGTGGGGGAGGTTGTATTTTCTATCTTAATTTTTGTTGTGTTGAAAAAGGTTGGAATCTGTATATATGCTTTTCTGTTTACGAAGGGATTTTTTTTTTTGTAAAGCTTCCGTCGAAAAGTTATATTCTATTGCAAGGTGAACATTTTATGTTATGGTCATTTTGATTGCAACTATTATCTTGTGATTTTCTCTCGCCTCGATATCTTCATAATACCGAGCAAAGGTACAACAAATTGCATTATAATATCGACAGTATTATGGATAACAGGACTACCACTTATAGCGATTACGATGACGATAGCACTATGAATGAAAAGGATGATGACCCAGCCACTTCATAAACACATCGTCGACAATTCTCACTTTCTTTTCGCCGCTTTTTCGCCATCATGACGACGAATCTCACGCGGGCAGTCCTCCAAGAACTCCTTTAGGTTGAAATCTCGGAAATTCTTTTCTCCCTTATCTCCTTTTTTATCACCTTAATTAATGTAACTCCCAGGCTCACGGTGGGCGAGACGAGAGAAAAATTCCGCCTTAATTCTTACGGAACGTCTTTGCTGTCCTTTTCACGTGTCTTCCGAGAAGACTTGATAATGTCAAAGGGTTGTGTAACCGGGGAGACAGCAGTTCATTCTTTGGTACACATGTTGTCAAAGGCTGCAGCCTTTTTCTCTCTCTACTTTTGCTCTCTCGCTCTTACTTTCTCTCTTTCTTGCTCACTTTTTCTCTCTCTCAGTCACTCACTCTCGCTCTCTCGCTCGCTTATCCTCTCTTTCTCTCATGAGAACTGTAATGATGATACAACTCCTATTCCCACTAGTAGCAACAACAATTGTAGTATCACTGGTAATCGTAATGACAGTAATAATAACAATGAAAACACTATTACTATTGATATTCTTTGTGATAGTAAAATTATTCATAATGATAAGATAATAAGGTAAATAGTTAAGTAATAATGTTAATAGTTATGAAGTGCTCCCACCCCCTATCCTATTACTACTCCATTTAATGGAAATGATAACTTTATCAATGGTAGCAATAACAATGATGTAGATTTGACGAAATATAAGCCACCAGTAATGATAGTAATGGCGGTAAGACGTAGATGGTGGCATTCAAGGACCGCACTATCACCACTAATAACAATCCTCAAAAATCATCATAATTACCACCGCTGCCACCCTCATTTCCGAGCTGTCCCTCGGAAACACTTACCCTGTAGACCCCCTCCGTCGGTCGCCAGCACACGAAGGAAGTACTCGGGCGTGGTCTCTCGGTCCAGACAGCAGACCGCCGTGCTCACCAGACCAGACTGGGGCTCGAGGGAAAAGATGGGTTCTCCTGTGGTTTCGTGGAAGGCGTTCTCTTCGATCGAGTAGCTGATTCTCGCGTTCACTCCCTCGCCGTCGTCGTCTGCATCCCAGGCGGAGACTACACAGACGGAGAGGTCTGGGTAGACGGGGGAAGGGAATGTGGATTATTGGTTTGAATGTGACAGAAGAAACTAATCTTATCTAGCAATCTATTTGTTTTCTGCGCGGTCTGTGCATGTGGGGGAAGGGAATGTACGTTATGGGTTTTAGTGTGACAGTGTGATAGAGAGAAACTTGATAGTAACTACTTATGTATCTACTTCCTCTCCTGCCCACTGAGGGTACTGTATATGATGAGGGATGTTGAGTTTAGTGAGAAGTTACAGGCTGATTCATTTACATATCAATCTCCATATTATCATACCGTTCAATTTTCCTTGTTTCTTCCGTCATCTAACCACCTCTTCATGATGAGTAGCATGTTTCCTTCTCTTTTTACAGCACCCCCCCCCCTTTCGTAATCTGAGTACGTTCCTATAAAAGATATAGGGGATTTAAGTCTACTACGTATGAGATTCTTGCTTAGCTTATGTCATAAAGTCTGTGGGCGTTGTTGTGTTCAGGTGTGGATGAACCGCGTTACAGCCCTTCAAAAAATCGGTTCAATACATGTACCGAAGCCGTACATGTAATACAGAGGGACTAACATATTGCATCTACGGAGGAAAAATGTAGCTGAAAAGGTCAGCTTGGTCATTTCGTGGATACTTTTTGAGATTTTACATTTTTTTTTTTTTTTACTTTGAGTGCTATTTCAGAACGATACGGAAATGTGAAGCTTAGACACTTGTGAGTTTGAGTCAAAACTTTGGCTCATTTCCAGGGTTTTCAACGCTTCTGAGGCAGGTAGAAGACGGGCTCCTTTATTTTTTTCTTATTTCTTACTGGAAAGAAGATAAGAT